ACCCAAAGGCAAACAGAGGGAAGTCTCGTGGGCAGGTGCCAAGCAGRGATTTGGTTGATTTGGGTCAGTTCCATGCTTCTGCCACACATCTCCCATAACCTTGGGCAAGCAGATTAATTGCTCTGTGCCTCAATTTCCCACAGTAAAACAGTGTCAGCAGCAAGAGTAACAAGGATCCTAAAGTAATTTCATCTGTATTTCACTCACAGTAGAGCCTACAATTTCTGATGTAGCTGGTATGTGACTTTTCAATGACCTCACAGTCTTGTCCCTCGCTCGCCCTTTAAGTGAAAGCTCTCCCTTTACAGCATCTTTTCCGTACACCTTGTGCAGCAGACACTGCGGCGCAGCAGCCATAAAACAATGGGAGCCGTAATTTCTTTGAACTCTGGGTCAAACTTGTTGTTAGCCAAGTCTGTAAGAACCCCTATAGTAAATTATATATGTCTCTTTATCAGAAGGATCATAAAATAAAACTTTACAACCCTTCTGAAGGTCACAGCTCKGCAACAAACAGTAAGACAAAACAATAAATTCACCCCCGAGACCACCATTTTTGTGGCTTGGGCAGYTTTGGTTAGATCAGAGGAAATTAGAACTCTGTCAATCTTTATACAAAGTCTTTCTTATTTCTCCTTTGGACCCATCTCTCAGTTCTCCTTAAGTGTAAGGTAAAGGCTAAAACAATGCTCATAATGGCTGTTACTGATTTCAACAGCAGCAAAGGGCCAAATTTATCTCCATACACACATTTAATGGAAACAATGACAAAAGTGTTTCTTGGCAAATTAGTCCCCTTCACCCCCCGAACAAAAACACATCTATAAGCCATTCCCAAAACAATCAATATTAGTCCAGCAAGCAAAACTGCACGTTACGTTTCCCATCAGTCTTGGCATTYCCTCAAACAAGTGATGCCTTATCAATTACAACTACTACCAAATAAACCAGAGAGAGAACTGCTGAGCTGGGCACCTTGCTGYTTTTCCCTCAGGTCTAGGGGCCTGAATGCAGGTAATTTGGCTAAAATCCCTGTGCTGGTCTGCTGACTTTWAAACATTTGGCCCAGTTATATATCTTTTTGTCTCTGCTTGTACAGGCAGTAGTACAACAGTCCAGGATCTGAACACTGMCACTGTATCACAACATAAATCATAAGGGAGAGAAGAGCAATCTCTACTCCTAGCTTCAGAGTGTGCATTCACTCTCCTGTGGATTTAAAAATGAGAAGACTGAAACATGGTGTTAGTTCTGCAGGTATTATTTTTTCAATTAAAAATGGAGTACTTTGGGATACTTTGATCTTCTGCATTAAAAAAATTTAGTGAAGGGATTATCTGATATTCTTGAAGTGAAAAAAGCAGACGTTTTCCTCTAAACACTCTTCTGAGAGGCTGGCATTTGGTTATGCAAAGTTTATGGTGTAGCTCTTTTATTTCCCATCACTCTGTTCTAACTGCTGCAAAGCTACTGACGCCGTAATCAATGACACTCATTCGTTCCTCTGAAGCTCAAAGTGAGGACAAACTTGAAAAGAGTGCAGGCTGCCGAGGAACTGAAACTTCAAGAAATACTTAGCAAAACGATGCTAGCAGAGACAGTGCAGGTCACCTGGGCTTGAGAACTGACTGCTTATGACTGCAGTGTAGCTACTGCACTGCATGGTCAGCCTAAGAGATTATTTTAATTTGTGCAAAAAACCCCAGCTTTTTATTTGAATAAGTGTCAGAGGTTTTATCTGACTTCAGACACTGTCATGGTGCAGACTCTAAGAGATGATATAGCAAGYAAAGCTTCTTAAATTAAGAAAATCTTGGTACATTTCCCTGCCTACATGTCCAAGAGAAATGAAATCGCTGTCCTCCAGATTAACTTCCGTTTCATTCTAGAAAGGGAGATTCAAAGGAAATACATGACATTCCACATGGAAATCCCAGAAAAAACATGTCGCATTCCTTGGCAATACCAGTCTATGTTATATATACATAGCATGAGGTGAACAATGCCAGCCTGGAGGGAAACAGTGGCTCCCACCCTTGCTGGCTCTCCATAAATCAAGTTTCTCACAAGAATGTCAATTAACCCTGAGCAGTATCATAATGCACAGGGCCTCAGCCTCTTCTCTCTCTCCCCACTAGCGAAACCAGCACATGTTGAAAGCTGTTACCGAGACTAGACAATCCTTCCTTCCCCTTCTGAGCCACCTGGTTACCTSTGTTGGGACAACCCTGCTCAGATCCTGCTTCATCTGCCAAATTACCGAGGGTGGTTTTCTGATGAGCTTTCTCTCCCACAGGCAACGTCCCCTTAGCTCATTGGATACCCAGCTCATCAAGCACCTTTAAATGAACCAGGACATGTAGAAGACTGGGGGGACTGCTCCTCATGGACACCTAACTGGAAACACACAAAAACCCACTCATGGTGCATCCTTGTTCCTTCTTTCTTACCTTCATYTACCCATCTACAAATTAAAGGTTCAACTTTTACCTTCAGTCCTGCAACAACCTCTGAAAAGGGCAAAGAACGAAAGGTGGATTAGACTAGTTCTTTGTTCTTGCCGTGTCACCCTGACAGCCACTCTGCAAACCTGTTTGAAGCAGTTGTGTCCTTCCCTGTGACTCATGCCACATTAACCTAGAACTTTTTGGCACCTTCTATTGTCTTCTCGTTTACATCTTGTTTTTCACCTGTCACTATTCAACCCCGCCTTGGCCATCAGWTCTGGCATCTCACAGCAGGATCAACAACCTCCCACTGATGCCAAAACCAACACCAGCAGCCCAGAGCTGCTGTTGGGGATTGACAGCAGAGTGKACAGGAGATGATTTTCCATCCCACCACTCTGTTCTCAGAAGATGGGCTTCCAGTTCAGGCACCCTCATTTACAGCAACTGTGATGGAGTCAGTGACTAAGGATCTCAATAAGGACACCTGCTCATTGCAAGTTATTTTAGGAACAGGCTATGGATGGGGCTGTTTGGCAGCTGTACTCTTCCCACATTTTTCTGCAGAGAGAAGTAATTAATTCCAAAATATAAAGGCTGGCAATAACACTTCATATACTAAAGGAGAGATGGTCTAAATGCAGGAAGATGCTTGGGTGTGTGATGTAGGAACTTCTCAATGGTTTCAAGGGGAAGGCAGGTGCTTGAACCACTTTGTGGAACCAGACTTGCCAACTCAAGGCTGTACTGGGAAATGCAAACCAGCAAACACATAATTAACACGTGCCTAATCAAGCAGATGAAGGAGACATGAGAAAGTCTTGACATGCAGGAGATGTCTCAGTGCATGCAAGAAACCCCCCACAGAAATGACCTCACGGTGATGTTGCCTGCATAATTACAACAGGTAAAAACCCCAGCCATGGAGCACTGAGACATGGCAGGTGCCACATGACATAAACAGGTATTTTTAGATACTGCAGGTGCAGTCCTAACGCTGCCTTACCTGAGAGAACTGTGACTGCAGTATTAACAGTGCAATGCTAGTTGATCACTATTTTTCAGTCTCTTCCACCTACTTGGAAAAGAAATCTTCATGGCTGTCCTGCAGCCAATTTACATGAGGTTCATCAGCAATAAGGCCACTACCTTGCTTTTTCTCTTTATATGCATTGTTTACACCCCGGCCTTAGTGGGCTCCAGAGTAGTAAGTACTACATAAACACATATAAACAATAAAAACAAATGATCATTTGCTGGATTGTGAAAATTTGGAAGGACACTGGAAACTCTCGGTTCAAGTTCCAAATAAAACACTGTTTCCAGTTGCCTTAGGCAAGTCACTTGGTCTTCCCATAATACTGTCCTCAAAACAGAAAAGACTATTTCTTTACCTGGCAGAGAAGCTGAGAGCATAAACCCATTAAAGACTGCCAAGGAGTTCAGATCCTATAGTGATAAGCAATTACTTAATACACAGCAATGCTTGGGAGCTTATGTTGGTTATTTCACAATACAGACAAAACTGCTCGGACCGACAAGCACATGGGACATTTTCTCAATAACAACAGAAAAGCAAAGCAACAACAAAACCCCAACACGAACTTCAAGTTGGCTCTGGAGAGACAGATGAATGARCTCTCCTCTAACTAAACATTTCTGTCTGCTACGAATATGTGCTCTCTTGGAGACAGAAAACAGATACCTTCTGCAGAAGTTGTGCAACTAATTTGGTTATAAAGAAAACGAAACCTACCAAAGACACTAAAGGAAACTCTCTAATGCTGAGAGCTACAGTTTTATAACAAGAAGAAACAATATAGAGCTATAAAACAACCCAGTGTACATCTTTATTAATGATTCACAAAATGAAACATCATTCACCAGACTGACTCCAGCAGTTCCAACATGACATTGTTCCTTGTTAGGGTTAGCTGATGTTTCCAAGGTAAATGATATTTGCTTTTAACTCGGAGTGGGGAGAATCATGTTTTACAGTAGCCATTTTGTAACAGCAAGTGCATCACAGCCATGACAATATTTTAGGTCACACTTCCTTATTAATATTTCACATAAAACCCCCTGCTACCTTCCAACAACACTTGTTCAGTACTTCCATGGCTTGTACTAGTCTCGTGAGAATCGTAACCCATTAGTTAAGCGGGATTTATTAAAACTCCTGAAGTGCACTGAAGACACAAGCTGCTATAAAATTAACTGCCAGTGTCCTTCCATAATTTCACCAGAACATATATTATTCTCAATAACCCAGTATTAAATKGACCAAGACTTTAACTGATAGAAAAATTATCTTGATTTCCCATTAAAACATACTCAGTCATATCCTGGTAYGTTATATACAGTTACACCAGCAGTTTTCACCATGTGAGTCAACTGCTGAGCTACAGGAGACAGGAGTGAGAAAACCTGGGGAAAGGAATAACATCTTTGATATTGTCAACTCCCAGGATGTATTGCAGGTAGCGTTCAAACCCCATTCCAAAGCCTCCATGAGGAACTGATCCGAATTTTCGGAGGTCCAGATACCTGTAATTCAAACAGACAGTTACATTTGCAGCACAATTATGCTGATGTCATTAGAGCAAGCTTTTCATCTAGGGTTTTGCTCTCCATCTTAATTACTTCCCTTTGACCTTAACCACTGTGATTTCTGCCAGGGCAGCTGGTGTTGGTCAGGGGTGTGAAGAAGCAGAATTGAATTAGCAGAAACTCAAAAGTTTAAACCCATTTAAATCAGCATAGCTATGCTCTGCCACTACACTACACACAGCGTATTTTGTTTAGGAGCAAGAATTTATTTGGGTATGAGGAACAGCTTTAACATTATGGCTCTTCTCATAATGAAGACACCTCTGTAGTTTAGTACCTCAAATATTCCTAGCAGAGGCACAAACCCAGGTTCCTACAGAATCAGAACCCACTTCCACCACTGGAGATGAAGCTGTCTGCTTAGCTGTTGCCATGCTGGTGTGGAAATCTGCCCTGCAAGTTCTTTCRTTTTCTGTTGGCTTTTCAATAGCTTAAGTAATTTCATTCCCAGTAATTTCTTCAGAAGATTATATAGGTCTTGCTGTCTGTCTGCTCAACACTCCTCCATTTTTTTTTCCTTTTAAAGTAATTATGATGGCTTTTTCTACTTTTTCCCCAATCACTCTTACAGACTGATCCATTATTTCTGTAGTATGCCAGCAAAAAAACTTGAACATATCTTCTCTAAAAATGAGATCTGGAACAAGACATTTTATTTTGCAGAACAGCACCTGTTGTGCACATAAAACTCAGAAAACGTTTGGAAGCAGATACTCCAAGTATATGGGTGTCAACAAGATTATGATGGTTCTATAGTTACCCACGTCCCAGYGAGACTGTGGATGATGTGATACTGTATTTGCAGCTATAAATTGTCACCAATGTTTGTATTTTAATAGAAGTAGAAAAACATCTCAGTGGTTCTATTGATTTATGGGGCCACTTCTGAGCTTGCTGAGGGCACAAAGTTATTCTCCTTTATATGAAGGCACTGGCAGGGGATTGAGTGACTCCAGATGTATTACTTGCTTCTAATCTTGGTGTATGAATATTTCATCATCTCAGTTTAAAAAAAAATCAAGTGCACTTAAATATAAATGCATATGTTTTACTACTTATGCATTGGAGAGGGGAAGAACACTGGGAAAGAAATTAAGACTGGAYTGATTGCAATAAATGGCTTCCTAAATATTATATACTAAGAATGAACTGCATGAAAATATCATATCYGTGTGTATGTCTATATGTATATATATAGGTAAAATACATATTATATATATTTGAGTGTACTTGCCTTGACATCAGCACTTTCTTGGCTTGAAGACTGTATTTTAACAGAGTGAAGACAAAGAATTGCCATGATTACCCTTACTTGCAAAATAAAAGTACTCTCCCACAAATTCTACAGTTGCAAGATTACCCTGGTACTCAGTTTGACAGTACACCTTTCATATCATGAAATACTATTTTTCCTTACAGCTCATCAACAGGAGTTAAAATTTGGGAAGCCATTTATTACACTCAGTTCAATATTCACATTTTTTCTTCCCCARTGTTTTTCCCCTCCCTTCCACTGCCCAAATAGCAAAAAGAGAAGCAGAGCTTACTTCTTCCTAGCAGCACTGACACACAAAATGAAGTTGTGCCTATAGTGCAAGTTGAACAGCAGGCTCAGGAGTGGGAYATGTTTTGTGATGACTGGGACCCATGTGCTTTTCTTCCAGTGCTGCTGGGATAGCTTGGCTCACTAAGGCCTGGTGCATGTGCACCCCACACCTTGTGAGGAGGATTATGCTTAGGATATGAACATGTAGGCTGTGCAACAGCAGGGTGGTCTCCATCTCCATGCACTTCACACAGATGGCATTAAGAACTTGTGTCTCTGCAAATACCCTGAACTGCTCTTGGGGAGTTCTGCTGTACAGCTTTACAAAGCTTTGCAAGGAAGATGATGGACAGAGCTGATGCTGAGGGTGGTGACTTGGGAAACAGGAAAGACCTCCTAAATGTGAGGGATACGGGTGCTGACCGTGGCAGATGAGTCTGACCCAGCTCAGGAGTTCTGAGCAGAAATGGCAAAACAGCAGGTAACTGCTTTAGCTGTAACTGGACATACAAGTAACAGCATAAACATTTCTGATGGTGTCTATAAGCACATCAGCCTGTGCAAAGGCAYTTGAGACTAAGCGCAGCATCTTCTCTCTCCTTCTGCTGGCAACAGTTTATAAAGTCATTGTAAGAAGATGAAATAACTCAGCTTCTTCCAGATGAACAATAATAATAAATTCTACCCTTGCTTATCCAGGACTTTGATCTGTAGATCTCAAAGCACTTTGAGAAGCCATTTTGGCAAAAGGAGTGAAACGAAACCCATCAAAGTTAATGGAAAAAGTCCATTGAATTAAATGTGCTGAGGATCAAGACTGTGAATCCTTTCTGATGACTGTGCTTAGAAGAAGCAGAAGAATTGAGGAATTTTCCATTCTTCACAGATGAAAGAAAAAGTAACTGCCTGCAGATGAAGAGAAAAAATCCCTTTAGGCTGGAAAATGCTCCCTGATGTTTTCCTTCATTCAGTAGTCTATACACATTGGATGTTTCTCACCTCAAAGAGTCATGAGCTACTCTAGCTGTTTTTGCTAGTAGCTCATACTTAAGAGGAGAGCTGAGCACTCCATTGGCAACTGGTGGACTGTGCAGAATTACTCCATAGGGGAAATAAGTTTCTGCAACCCAGCTAGCCCTGGTGTTCCTGTTCTGGGCCTGAGGACTGGTAGGCCTTCAGAGATTTGAATCTTATTGAGGTGTGTGCTGCAGCAACAACCCCCAGCAATGAATTCCAGGAGCTCATTATGTGCTATGTTAGAAGATCATTTCCATTCATATTTTTAAAGATCTATATTCTTTTATGATCATCATGAGCTCCMTGTGTTGTACAGCAAGGCACTATGAAGAACAGTGCTCTCCTAGTGACCATTCATAAACAGAATGTGTTCTTTCAGTCTCTTTTCAAAACAAATATAATCTCAATCTTTTATGAAATCCTCTTGCTGTACTAAAGCTTCTGTGGCCAGCTTGAAAAATTAAGACTGAAAGAATAAAGGTATTATAGTCCACGAAACTGAATATTCGACTGGGGAGGGAAGGGGTCAGAAGAAAAAAACTCCCTGACATTCTGCCTGCTTCTGTCTGGCCCAGCACAGTGCTCCAGTTTCTTCCCAAAAGAGGAGTAATAGGACCAGGTGGCTGCCAAGGACGATGACAGGCTACCTGTTTTCACTGGGCTCTGAAGAAGGTTGAAGGATGAAATGAATGTAATCACTGCCCATGGGCTGCAGGAGTTCACCTACTACAGTGCTTCTTCTCCCTAAGTCAAACTCTTCCTTTTTGCCCTGCCACACAAGGACCCAACAGAACACTCGGATATTCAAGCTTCAAAGAATATTGGAAATTTAATAGTCCAAGACAGCTCAATCTTCCTCATCTAGTACAGGAGCAGGGCCAAAACAACACAGTAGCATCCACTTGAAGACAGCAGAAAACCCCTGCTCTGCTACTGTGGACTTTCACCAATGTTACACCAGAAGATCAAAAAGGTACCTGGACTGTAACAGGTTCAGTATGAGACAATCTTCTCCACTGATGCACATGGTGATAATCAGAATAAAGAAAAGGGTACCTTACATGTAGGAAGACTCTCTGAAATGCTGCTCACACTGATGGTGGTGGGGACATGTTGTTCATTACAAAGTACCCGCTTTGTTACTTTTAAGATGGCACCTGGAGGCTGCAAATAGGATCAATTCCCCTATTTACAATGCAATATAGTTAATACTCCCTGGTGGAAGAGAAATCAAGGGAATTCCCAGAGTACTCTCATCATTCGCCTTTCCCACCTCATTTCCACATACCTTTAGCCAAGATCATCAGCTACAGCTCTGAGCTATTTTCTATCTACAGTTCAAAAGAGAAAGTGTGAAAATAAGATCAAATAACTAAAATATCAAGCTAAATACCACTCCAACTCATATTTGATAGGGAAAGAAACCCTATCAACAGGAAAGATGTAGTGAACTGAAGAAGATTCATAAAGTTTGACCATGTCCCTTTATCTTTGGAAAAACTTCCTAAAAGGTAGGAATGGCAAGAAGCAGAGCAGTATTTCAGATCATCAGCTGCCTCTGCCCTACGATTCTCCCACAAACAAGGCAATCCTGAAACTGTCCTAGAAACAGTCAGACCCCAGAATATTCTCTTGCTTAGTGGGGAGAAGAAAATAGGTAGAATCAGAGATATGGCAATGGGTAAAGAACTTCAAAAGGGATCACATTCAAAAATCAGCAAATACTATATTTAAAAAGGAATGACTCAACTGTTCTTCTAGGAGTTTGGAGCCAGCTTTGGAGACTCAATTCAATCACTAAATTGGAGRAGATTAATTTTAGTCTCTCCTACCACCTCCACTGAAAAAATGGATGCTGGCAAACCACCTACCTGTATTCTGGCAGATTTTGGACTGCAGTCCAGAAGCATCCAGAATTACTGCTATGCTGCACCTTCCTAGGACACTAGGCCCTGCTAGGGCAGGGGGTAACAACAGATTTAATCTTCTCCAGGAAGTTACATTGTCTGTGATGGAACAGAGGAAATAAAGGAGGAAAGAGTCTCCAAAACAAGATTACAGCAAGAAGAGTTTCCTGAATGCAATTGCTACATATCACATGAAAACACAAACAAGTGACAGGCAATGTCCTAATCTTCTTTTGAGGGAACCATGAGGTAGGGATCTGCTGTCTTAGTAGTGCTGGAAAGCTCTGCCACTGACTTCCTCAGGCTGTATCTCAGCATCTAAYCACACAAGTTATCACCCTTGTTCAGGATAATCCGTCTCTCAGATAAAGGTCTGTGGTGTATTCTGGCCCACAAATACAACAACAAAGGAAGAAATTAAATTCACGCTGTTTGCACATGGATGATGTAAAGATCTGCCACACACTGGGCTGCTCCTCAGTGATTTCATATTGTGGGAAGAGGAGAGTGAAGAACCGACACTTTGCTTTTCTTCAAGGCAGCCTTCCTAATGATCAATCCAAACACTGCAGAATATTTGAATATACTCTTCTAAATTTAAAATTCTCTTCACTAGCACTCTCTCAGTAGTTATGATGAAGTACATACCAAGAAACACTTGTCAAGAGGAACASTAAGGACCTTCTGTTATTTTAATAGGTTAAACTGTTAATTCAAAGGTTGATCTGTCTCCTTAGGAGGACAGTTTTAATTGCTTTAACTGCTTTGTTAGGGAAGATTTTTCGACCCAATTGCCCTGTCAATTGCAAAGGGAGTTATCCACAGAGCTGTTAAAGGTCACAAGTTGCTTGTGGTTCTGTAACCTGTTTATCTCATGCATGGTGGCAAAAATCTAGCCAACTTCCAGCACAGCCTAATGATTTAATATCAAAAATCATCATGGGTTGTAAATTAATGCACCTCATGGAATCCTGAGAGGAATGACCTGTCCCATGAGTGGACAAATTGAAAGCATAAACTAAGTAGCATTGGATTAGACTTTGTTTAGATGAACTGGCTATTTCATTTAGATTGGCAGGGATGGCAGGGCAACAGGGCACAGAAATGTTCCCTCAAAAACAGGATCAAAATTATAAAAACCAAAAAAGCCCCCAACCAGTTGCTTAAATAGTCTCAAAAGAGGAAACAGAGCTTGCACGGCRAGCTAGCATCTTACCATTGATAGGCATCTGTGAGTCCTAACCTGTGAAACAAAAAGAAAATCCCTTGTAAGTAAAGGAACAGAGTTGATYTGCACAAGCAGCACTTGCCTGGAAGAGGATGCTACAAGAAAAGGGAAAGTCTAGTGAGCTACTGTACAAAGCATGAATAAGGTTTTTCTCTCTAAGGTTATGCTGGTTCTGCAGGAAATAGAATTTGAAGGCCTAAACAAAAAGTATTTGGGCTCAACAAAATCAGATCCTGAGGACTCAAAATTAAGAAAAAATGTGAAAGGATGTGTGGCTTACTGAAGACACACCCCATTTATAGCTTGAAATGTTTTCCACAGTTTTCCTGACAAACAAGAAAGTCTGGCTTCAAATTCCACATGGACCCTCCTYCTCCTGAGGACTGTGGGCTCAGATRCTGGCAAAAAAATTTTGACTGAAAAAGTGCAGCAGRCAACACTGTACTTTACATCAGTTGAAGCATGCCTGTTTCAGAGAGCTCGCAGGAAGAGCAGCAGGAAGCACAGGGAATATCATCATCCTACACTAAAAATTGAGAGTTAATGTTCTGGTGATTTTAATTGCCCTGTGCCTTTTGRATTCATTACGCTGAAATGGATTGCGCTCTTCTCCACTGACTAGATATATCTGTGTAAGTATGCGGCTGATTTAAGCAACAAATTAAATCCCAGTGAGCAAATGATGTTACTCTGGGATTAATCCTCCTCCAACATTGCTTTGTGCAAGTTGCCCAAAGCAGAAGTGCTCGCCCAAACAGAAGTGCTCAAGTGCTACGTGGGACTTTGCACAACCTGATCTCATGGAAGCTGTCCCTGCCCATGGCACTGAGGTTGGAACTAGATGGTCCTTAATGTACYTTCCARCCCAAACCATTCTCTGATTCTACAAAATCTTTGAATAATCAGATAGGATCCAGAAAATAACTGTCTATGAAGAATTACCCCMTGTATAATGTCAATTATTGTTAATTAAAGAGCAGCTTTGATATTCTGACATTGAAGTTAGCCTAAAATTACCAAAAGTAACAAGATGCAGAATAAGGCAGCAGGAAAAGAAGAGCCCACATGAGACACAGTTTAGGTCTTGGGCAGCTCCATGAAACTATTAGCAAAGAATCATGTTCTCTGAAATCAGGCCAACCATTGGGGCCAGCTGCATCACAACCAGCAAAGCTTCAGACCAAAACTGCAATTCCTCAGTTACACAATATGATAACAAATATATCTAAGTTCTGTACACATGACAGCTTCCACACAATCCACTTTCAGCCACCAAACTGTGAAGACAAGGATMAAGGATGAAGTGTCCCACAGAAGACCCTGTGACTTTTTTTAAATACTGTTAGACAAAAATAAGTTTCTATTAAATACTACTAGCTGCCCTTCCACTCCCCTCCATTTTGCCAACCACTGAGAGCTGCTGAAACACGCTCTTGGTCAGGCCAGTCTCCTGGYATCTGTGAATTTTCCATACCTCTGTAAGCGTGATTCGAGGAAGGGCAGTCGCTCCTCTCTCAAGCTGCCTCCACACAACTCCCCTACTCCTGGTACAAGGAGATCAACAGCTGCAACCTTCAAAGAAAGAAAACTAATTGAAGTTATGCCACAAAGGCACACACTGATTGGCAGAAGAACAGTTGACCTGGAGTTTTTGTTAAATCCAAATGTAATTCTTCCAGAGTCCAGGACACTTAGGTAAGGATTTGCACATACTTGAAAAGTCTCTTGTTGACAGAAGGCTGAGAGGAAATTTTGCAAGGATAAACATCAGTAATCTACAGAAAACCTAAATATCAGCAGTGATGTCCCAGACTGAGGACATTTACTGCAAGTGGTTTGAACTGAATCTTACCAAATTACGCTGGTGACAACATCTGAGGGGTTATAAAGAACCCAACAGCAGCTCACAAGACAACAAAGACACATAGGCAAGTTTTCTGAAGCCCTGATTCCCTGCTCTGATGCTGTAGCTTGTGTTTAGCCCTAGGTACTCCCATTCCTTGAGCCAGGTCTAGTGGATATGGTAGCAATGGCACTCGTGCTGGATCCAAGCGTTACCACTTAAGCTGGTAGGTTTGGGCTCTCTGTCTTGTCTTCCAGGGTTATTTTTCTTATCCCACAGCTGAAACGCTGCTAGAATTAAAGCCACTGAAGACACAGTGGTACATAGTGGGGTAGTTGCTCTTTTTAGCAGAAGCAATGCTTCAGGTTGTCTCAGCTCAGTTCGGAAATCACATTTCAAAGCATGAGACTTGATAAAGAACTGAACTTCTTTTGCCCATCTGCTATTTGAACATTACACGGATGCTACATTTGGATGACAAAAGAATCCCAGACTGCTTGGAGCCATCCAGGCAATTCACCTGACAGTACAAAAGTTTACAAGGAAAAGAAATAAACTATGGCAAACTTTTCACTTAATTCAGTCAAGACAAGTTAACACTATTCTARCTCCCAAATCTTCCTTTGCCTGTTGTTTCTGCTTTGGGTATTTTTACTACAACAGGAAAACAACTGGACAGGATCACCTGATGATTACATCTTATTGTGAACGTCTTGAGGGCAGGCCCAGCATTATGCCTATCAGTAAGACGTGGTTCTAGCCAAAAAAGTGAAGGTGTGACCCACAGACTCACTGTGTGCTGAGGTCCATCTTCGTTGTCCCGCATGTAGAAAGGTTTGAGGTCGTACGGGTAATTAACCACGAACACAGGAACCTCACCACAGTACTTCACCAGGTACTTCTCATGTTCTGTTTGGAGGTCACAGCCCCACTGTAAAGACAGCAAAAAGGGACCTGGGAATCTGCTTTGGTGCCTCTTGCCCCTGGCAAGAGACACGGCAAAATCCCTGYACAGATGTGCTGCTTTGAATAACATGAACAAGCAAAGCAACTTCTCATACAGGTCACTGGGAAGTAGTTTCACAAGTTTTCAGGCAGAGCAAAGCATGGAAAATAATATGGTTTAACTACACAGAACAGGGCCAGATCACCCTTGCATCAAGCCCAAGCACCTGGTATCAAATTAGGAAAAAACCCCAAACAAACAAGCAAAAAAACCCCAACCACAAACCCCAAATCACACTGCATATCTGAAGGGAAAGTCACCTATCCAAAGGCAGCTTACTCAACCCAGCAAACCAACCTTATTTCAGTGTTACCTTTGGTGTATAGTAAGCAGCTTTCCTAGGCTGATGCTCTCTTCCCTGCTTGTCTTGTTACATGCTACATTAATTCTCACCTAAGAAAGCCTAGCATCCTCTTAACCAATTCTTTATCAGAAACCTTGGACATTTGCAATGCCCTTCACTTCTCCTTTTTTCCAGGGATGTTCTAAATCCTGTGCTTTTGACTTGAGACCCCTAGTCCATTTATAGGACGTGCCAAGAATATTGGGGGAATGGAAGGGGAAGAGGGCAATAGACCTCCCCCAAACTGTCTTCATATGAAAATATCCCAAGTTTGCTGTCTTAGATTCAGGTAGTACAGATACAAGATTTGAGGTTCTACACCTATTTGTGCACAGAGATGAGACAGTTACCCAAATGGCTATGAAGGTGGCTTCAGGCAGAGGGTTATTTTCCTCAAAGTATCATAATGAGGTAATGATTAAACAATATACACAAGAAATGAGCACCACCATAAATGCTGTCTCATACTGGAGTGGGTGTGTGCTTGAAATTGGGCAAAATACGATTTTTAGAAAACCATGATCTTAATAGCATTAAAAAGACTAGAATGTTAATTCTTTCTCCCAGTCAACATCTATGCTTTGGAAAGACAAGGGATTCCCTTTACCTGCATCTAGACTACATGCTATTTTGACATGGTATTGTCTTACTAATCCTTGTCAAACTCTCAGTGCTATCCTCTTACCTTTCCTTTATTTGAGTACTATTACAGCAACTCATCTTAGATGATTGCTACTGCATCTGCAACACTTTCATCACTACTCATACAGGAAAGAGAAGTGCCTTTGCTAAAGCCTTGGTCCTTCAACTGCAATCTCATCACTTCCTTCCCATGTTCTTCTGCTACAGATCTCACTCCTTGTATATTGCTCCCACTTCAACCCCAAAGGGCAAAAAGTTACACTTAATTTACAACCCAGCAAACACCTCAGGAGGCAGATAACCTGTGCAAAGTAACAATTCTTGTGGTATCAGAGAGAGAAAGAAGATTCTACAAAGTTCAGGCTCTGCACAGGGACAAACCAGCTGGCAGCAACCTACCTCTGGCTTGAAAACGAAAGTTTGAGGAGCTTGCTTCAAAATTTCCACTGCTTCACTGTAGGAAATTCTGCAAGAGGAAGAAAAAAGTCTTTAAGATAACTAAGAAAGGAATAACAAAGTTTTCTGGCTAAGTGCCATGCTGGAAAATTAAGGAGGCATTTCCCCACCACCATGCCAACTTGTGTGTAATGTCAGACTTCCCAGCAATGCTCCTTTGGACAGAAACCAAAAAGCATTTTATATGGCAAGAATCCTATGTTTTCCTGTGCTTCAGCTACATGAAGCGCAGGAAGTGCTAAGCTCTCAACACTTCTGCATTATTGCAATGTTGCATTTCAGTCAGAAGTGAGCTCTGCAGAGAATTGCTTCGTAGAAATGTGTGGATTTTTTTTTAAAAGAAAACAGTATGTCCTCATCAGCATAGCTACAACAACATAGCTCTACTTCAGGGTGTGTTAGGCAAAAATAACAGCCCAGGGTGCAAAGGGCTTGTAGCTCAAATGTTTCCATTATACTTCGCAGAAACCGTGAGATTTACATGYAGCAATGTTTCTCTACTTCTCTGGCTGATTTGAGAGAAGATTCTCCACCAATTTCTCTCAGCACAAAAGAACAGCATCATGGCAAAGCAAACAGAAATAGTGCAGTGAACAATGCTCCAGGTTTGGTAACTGGAAATCAAGACTCAACGGAATATAATGTGGCAGCCAAGTTTTCCACACACCAAGCAAAATGTTGTGGACAGAGAGACRAAAGAATAACATGATCACAATTACTTCATCTTTGTATCACTGGCTAAGTCCAATTAAAACTAAATTCCCTAAGGAGCACAAGCTCTTTACACCCAGTTACAAGATCTGACTAAAACAGGGAAGGCTTCTGGAGGAAATACCTCAAGAGGGAATATATTGCTCCACATGTTTGGGTTATGTGAGGCCACAGCCCAAATGAGGTATATCACTGGCACAGGTTCAACACATGTAACCAGTGTGTGTAAGCCAGGAATGCCCCAGATCTGCCAGCAGCTGATGGAGAGAAGCAGAGAGGGAGAAAGAGATTGTCTGACTCTTTCTCTTTTTCCTTGGAGCATGGGAGAGGCTGAGTGCAACTTTGTCCTTTTCAGGAACATCACTCAGGTCTAAAAAGAGGACTGAAATGGGAGATGGTAACTTCACTGAGGTCTCCCGTGGTGCTCATTCAGGCAGAGGCACGGGGGGGATCCATCATGATCCCGTTGCCCAAGTGTGGCCATAGCTGCTTAACGAGAAAMCCAGTGCTGGGACGAGCAGCCCTACAGGGTTCTGTGGGATCAATGGAAAGCTCCACTGTTTGAAGAGACAAGCAGGAGTAGGGAGGAGGTGGTACTCTTGGGGGCCTGTGAAGGAAACCCAAACCCTTCAGTTCTTTAGCGCAAAGAGAACCGGGAACAGAAGTTRCACAAGCAATTGGGAATAGAAAACCAAGTGGGATTTTCAAATATCATAAAATACTTTCATAAAAAGAGAGCAACTAGAGCGGAAGTGTGAATGAAAGCAGAGCATCAAAGCCAAAAGTAAGCCAGACTGTGAGCAACCACTCTGCAGGTACATGCTGGAAGTAGAATACACTTGAGGATCTTTCCAGGTGAGCAAAARCCAAAGGCCAGCAGGCTGAGATGTCAGTGTCATGCTGGGGTGAAAGGCTGTAACTGACAAATGGTAAAAGGGAACTGCAACTCATGCTCTTTGGGAGACATGCTAACCCAGAAGACATTGAGTTGTGAAAGAAAAAGAATATATACAAAATAGGAACTCTTTCCCCAAAAGCCCTCTACCAGACCATTTTGAAATAGTACTTACATCATAAATTTGTGCTTCAGTATTTGTTCCAACCTGTCCTTGGTCAAAACAAGAGAAAAATAAACATGTAAAGCTTACCCTTATGGGTTCAGGGGCAAAGTCAGGAAAGCAACCTCCCTCTATGTTTTAGTTTGTAGGACAGCATTTTGATCTAGATATGGGTAAAAATCTACTCCTGGCATTTGGGGCTAAAAGGGTACCCAATTATTGAAGCTGGTAATTCAGGGGCTGCCAGATGARGTGACAACTACCATTCTACCACACATGCTACCAGCTACAGCAACTTGTGTGTCCTTTCTCTGTTGGCCTGAACAATCACTTAAGCTGAGGCTGACATTTAGCTTTTCACAGTTTCTTAACACAGGACAACACAGTTAAAATTAAGCCTTCCTTAGCCAAGAACCTCCAAAACTCGAAACAGGATTGCAGTTCTTTCCTGTCACATGCATTACCTTCTGTGCAGGAGCTATGTATTTATGAAAAAGCTCAACATCACGAGGACATTTGGAGAGTACAGTACTCGTCACTGTCTTGAAAAGATCTTCCATAACCTAAAAGAGAAAAAGGGAATGCATGAAAAAAAATGAACATCGCCTAGGTGTCCYAGCTATAAACGAAACAAGGTACTGCCAAAGGAGCTTCTGACTTTCTGCATAGCCAGACTGATAAGAGGGAACCAGCTCACTAATGCTCCTAATTAGCAGGCTTGCTTAGTAGCTGAAGAGGACTAATACCTTTATTTTTGCTATGGGTTTAGGGCTTCAGTGTCTGCTGATGACTTCAGTATCTTCAGTTAGATATCTCCAGTGAAAAAAATCACAGCTAAAATATTCCAGCAGCAACTCTGGCCAGCCACAGACACACATTACAACCATTTATGGGTCTAGTCTCAGATTAATTCTTAGTGAGGTATCTGTCCCGTAACAAACGATTCTGGATTTACGCTTTGCTGTTAGAAAAGGCAAAACTAAAGGAAAGAGAATTAATGTGTAGTGTGTAGAGACAGCTCATCAAACAGATCTCAGCTAGAGAAGACTCTGTGCAGTAAGGGCAAAACATGTACAGAGATGAGTAGAGAGCTGAAGCAGAGGACACATCAATGCAGGGATGTTTGAGAAACTAAAAACGTGGTTCCACTTCCCYAAACTAATGTGGATTAACTAAATGACATTATCATCAAATTTGGATGTACTTATCCAGTAAAACAGGCTTCACTCATTAAGAAATTAAAATGCCATTAAAAGGCCCCACATAGGATGCTGCTGCATTTTCATCAACCCGTTTTAAAGGTAACATTCWCTTTTGGTTAAGCAAAGCAGACCATCTAAGACACTTGCTGTTATGCAGACTAAGAGTTCCCATGGCTCCCTGCAGTCTTACACCAGTACAAAGCAGGCAGTTGACACCTGTGGTACCAACTGATGATCATCCCAACTCTTCTTCAAAAACACCCTCCTAGTCTCATCTCCTTTGGAAGAACAGAGCAATGCAGCTTAGGTTAGGCTGCATGTCAGCTCAGTTTGGGATGGGACAAGGYTTTTCCTAACAAAAAGGATCTCAAAGTTCTGGTACATTCCTGKTTTTTCTGTTGGTTGTTCTTTTGGTTTTTTTTGGTGAGAGTAGCAACTGCTTCATTAATTGCAGAGTTGAGGGAAGTGAATTTTCCGCTAATGATATCCAGATGAGCAGCAGGCCCTAGACACCACAAAGCCTGTGACTGCGAAAAGATGAACCTGTTGTTCAGTCAGCAGATCTCAAGAAGAAGCAGCAGGTCTATGCCTTACGAGGAAGCAGATCTCATAGGGTAAGAGGAACATGAGGCACAGAAACAAAGCAGCTGTGCTACTGACATAGGCAAGGTGGGATTTCAGGCACGTAAACTTATGTCTAGACAAACATTCTTCACACCTGTCCCAAGCTGCTGAAACACTGCTCTGTGATGGCAAACAACCTCTTGCATCCCACAGCCCAGTGAAGCTGGTAAAGCATTCCATTTGGACTCCTTTGGAGCCAAACTCAGACTCACGACTCCTGTATCAACCCGGGTCCTCCTTTTAAAAAGGGAAGATGCAAATAAGAGAACAGCATTATCATATGCAGATGAACAGTTTTACCCCTCCTGGTACTCAAACAAAGAGGAAATGAAAAGCCAGCATTCCTGCTGCTGAGTGGCAAATAACCAAACAGTTAGCTTTGAACTTTCTTCAAAGTAGCTAGAAAAAGGCTTATGCAAATGAAATTAGAAAACTTCTTGGCAATTCATCTGGTTTCACCAGGCAGAGACGAAGGGATTTTACATTAAGCTTCCTCTTTCTAGAAAATGAAAGTATCATCTGGTTTCAGAAAAGCATGTTGTTTAATTAGCACTTTTTTTCTCCACTGTGCGATAAAGTAACAATTAGGTTCCCACAGCATTCAACATAAGCAGCTTCCTCTTGTGGAAAAAAGATGTGGGTGGTATGGGAAAAACAATCTGAGAAATATTTCCAGGTTTGAGACTGAGGTTTTATCCTGGCAAAAAAGACAGACACGTGGGTCATACACTGGCCTCCTCACTGCTCTTATTTATGCCAAACGTGTACTAGGCACAAACAGTAGATGGAAAAAAAGAAAAGGAGGAAAAAAAATCYCTCAAACTGAGAATTTATGTCTTTAAGCAGACAGTATAATGAAGGACTGAGAAGTAGGCTACAGGAAAAATGAGCGGACAAATGTAATCTTTGGCTTGCTGATTTAAGGGAACATGTGAGTTTGAGATAAAGGTGGAGTGATTGGTTTGAACATWTTCTGAAACATATTTGACAGAAGTCTTAAACAGGGGAAAAAGCACTGGAATCACAGCAAGTAGCTCATCTCAGAGGTGGKACTCCTGATGTCCGAAAAGCCCAATAATATGGTTTGCTTCACAATGGCAATGTGGAAATTGTCCTGGTAGGAGAGGAGGCAAGGAAAACAGAGGTCAAAGCTTTCTCTCTTCTCTCAACCCTTTTAGCCTTTCTCTTCTGATTTTCACTTTTGAAACTTCAACAGTATCAATCTTGGCCTTCCCCAGTGTGGCTCTGTTATTTAATGGTTAACAGTTACATTTTGATTAGGACCAAGGGTATTGATTAATTTTACTCTTGATCCTTTGATACTGCAACTTATCCTCTTCCCAAATAAAATTATGACCAGAGCTGAAACAGAGGAAGTCATCAATAAAACGACAGTAAAAGTCAGCAGCAGCAACTGAAGGTGCTGCAAACTCCAAGAAAGGTTCAAATCATCATCTTTATTGCATAAAAAAGGTTACCTAAGAAAAAGCACGTGACCTGCCAGCAGGATTTTTATTTATGTATTTACCTGGGGCATACATATGGATGCAGTGTAGATCACAGGCTATTTACATATGGAACACTCACCCATGGACCACTACTTTTTGCCACCATGATTGCTCACACATACACACAAAGGGGAGGAGTCACACCTGATCTTGCTCATAGGAGTCCTCTCTCAGTGACACAACCAACAGCTCAGGCCCCTCTCTGGAGAGATGCGGTTGCTGTGCAAGGAAGGAAACTTGTCTGCCAGGCCACAGCTTCACTGGCCATTGAAGCTGAACGGTGACAGAAGTCAGGGAAGAGAACAAGGCTCAGCTATGGTAGCTGGAGGCCACTTCAGACTGGGAACCTACAGTACTGCAGATACCCCAATGTCCCTAAAGAGGGTTGAGCAAGACACTTTACAGCAAACCTTTCCCATGTGATTACCAACATTTGCTGCCTCAACACTGCAGTCAGACTTGCCCAAGTGCCTCAGCCTTCACACTGAAGACCGAATGCTGAGCGCAAACTAGTCTGGAAATCAAATCACATACATGTTTTAGATCCAAGCTCTCTAAAGAGGACACCCAAAATCGGTGCTACTGATTTCATTTCATGCCTGAGCTCCTCTGTAACATGGAGGTAATAATGCTCCATGGTTGGTTGTAATGACAGCAAATTAATTTTTATGAAGTACAAAACTGGTGGAAGACAATACTTCTGCCCTCAGGACAGAGCTCAAATACTGAGTGTTAAATTGTAGTCTCCATSTCAAAGACAGCAGTGCTAGCTAGGATGTGATCTTGTTAAGGAATAGTAACACTACACATAAACTCCTGGAAATGCCCTCAGGAAAACTTCCTTCTGGCATTTCCTAACTTTACACCTAAATAATGTCTTTTTTAGCACAGCTTTGTATGTGCTTTTGATGAAATTCAATACTGACTGTATCATATGGCCTCTCTGAGACTCCATTAGTGTCATGAGTGAAGTGGGATCCTTTATATCTACTGCACTGTTGAGACAGTGGAATGAAAAATAGAAGATAATGGCCTACAAATACAACTACATGACACAGCATTGAATAGAGAGGTAGACAGTGATAAGAGGCATTCTCAGAGGACAAATGAAAGTGGAGACTTTGGATCTCCAATTGAGGTACTGGAGGGCTGACATCTCTAGTGAGTTCAGACACTTCCACAACTGGACCTCTTCCACTGTCTACCTGACCTTTTTCTAAATCCTTCTCTTTYTTATCTGTTTTGGAGAAGTGCCTCGGGGCAACCTGGCCCAAATTCTTAACTTGACTTCTGGAAAAAGGCTACCCAGAGGTCCCTCCTTAGATACCCAGACATGCACCCTGTACACTAAAGCAGAAATCCTATCACCCAGCCATGCGGCATCAAGTACTGCACTGAGCACACTGGACTTTCCACAGAAAGTATTGTGAAACCAGTACTGTGAGAGTTGAAGCTCCTTTGTAGCATTAAAACACATTTTGGCACAGAACAGAAATTTAGATTGCATGATTAAGACACATGAGACTTCACAAGAACTGTGCTACTAATTTAGGAATAACTGAGCACTACTCTGTGCAATTACAGTGGGGGAAAAAGGCCGCTGCTCTAAGATTTCAGGCCCTTTGTTCCCAAATACATGTTACTTGGTTATTAAATATTCTTTTTTCCTTTTAGTTCATAAGGAAAGCTATATTGCTTTTGGAGCTTTGGCTGGGAGTAAGACCTCAAGCCTCATCAGTGAATGGCAAACATGCTCATCTTTGTAGCAAGGCTCTTTAATCGTGTATAAGCAAATACTTCAAGATGTCCCTGAAGAAGCTGAGCATTTCCAGCACACTAACTTGCTCAAGTGAGAGGTACTTAGTCCAAATGTTGAATAGCAATTTTAAAAATAAATTTTAAACAATCCAGCTCCTTATGCGAGGACAAAGTTCAGATGCTAACCCTGGCCAAGAGCCCCCAAGGCTCTCAACTGGGTGTTTTGCACTGAGCAAAGAACTTGCAGATGACAACAAAYAGACGAAATCCCTGATAGGCAGATACACGAGAGAACACTGAATTTAGGTGAGGAAAGAAACTTAGGCTTTAGAGCAACTGGCAGCGTTTTCTGGTAGGTTTTTTTAAGAGAGATTGCCCAATGATTTAAAAATAAATAAAATGGGAACTCCATTTCTGCAAGTAAGAACACCACAAAATTAAGCCTGTTGCAATATAAACTCACTCTGAGGAATGCAAAATGATGGCTGCTAGGAGATTTTCTGTTATAGAGAAAGGTGCCTGTCAAAGACTCGGGCATGAGGGAAAATGTAAAAGAGAGTGCAAGTTGAGACTTCACAAGATACTTAGCAACAACAAAGGCAAAGTTGAGGGGGAAAGTTCCTCTCTTTCCCTACAAATAACACCCCTACATATTCCAGAAGAATTCCCAAATCTTATTTTCTGAATTGTCTGAACTGGCTGTCTGTACTTGAAAAGCCAAAAAATTACGGTTCTCTGCACAAGATATGTTGATTCTGTTTTGAAGGGCTCAACCACCACTTAACAGAAGACTCTTTATTATACTAGGTAAAAGCAGTCAAGACTTCAATTGGCTCCTGATTACCTGGAGAAACAGGGGACTCAGGAATTAAGGTGTGTACATATATGCTGTACTCCAAGGATACACAAAGCTGTTGTGGAGAAAAGCAGAGAGGAAAGAGCAGGATGCCATTAATGATGGAGCACAGACTCCCAACTGGTCAGTCCACACAGCTCAGGGCCATCCAGACATCCCAGACACAGAAGCAGAATACAGAGCATGTCAGCTCTGCTCTCAGGCCATGCTGACACAGCACTGTCTATGACCCATGCTAAAGAAACCACCACCTGGATGTTATTTTATAAATCTGTAGCCAGTGCCTCAGGTATTTTTCTTTATAAGGTTACTTCTCCAATCGCTTTCCACAAAGCTTTTCTGATAAATGAGAGTGTGTGTGGATGTTTACTCACAAGTCCTACTGGGTATAAGCTGGCTTATGCTGAGACTAGTAAGGTGCATTAGCATCCATCATCTGGTTAAACTGCAACTGAGAGGTCAATCCCAAAAAATCAAAAACCAGCTGACTAAGGATTTCCTCCAGTCTGCTGCTAAAGCCACAGTGAACAGTATATGCCAGAACTGTTGTTTCTACTTCAGATTTCAATGCAGATTTCAAGGAGGCCTTTACAGAGCACACCAAGGGATGCACTGCATAAATAGGGCTCATTCAGTGGAAAGGTGCTGGTGATTTTGAAAGGCAGAGAGCGACTTTCATTAGCACTAGTCAAGCACATTTACACAGCCCCAGGCAATACAGCAACTGTGGGGGCTCCCATTCAGATGAGAGCAGGGTGCACTTATACCTTCCCTTCCAAATTCCCTCTAAGGCCTCATCTCTGCTGAGCAAACCCTTCCCCTTGGGAAATACCTGTGCAACCTCTCCTTGGCTCATACAGGGTGAGAGGAGCTGTGACCTCAGCTGAAGGCAYGGAGCTCAGGGAGGAGAAAGAAACTCTGGTACCAGTCCTGTATAGATATCTGAGTGCCCACCTGCATGATATCCTGAAGGCTTTCAGTGAAGGACAGCTCAGCCTCCACCATGTAGAACTCGGCCAGGTGCCGGCGACTCTGAGAGTTTTCCGCTCGGAACGTTGGGCCAAAGGTGAACACGTGAGTAAAAGCTCTGCAAGGCAGCAAGAAACAGGTAGGTCAGGTCCTGCACACAACTGAGTCTGTTACATCTGAAGCCATCACTCTTCTTCAAGCATCCAGAAACAATCATGTTTCCATTTCATCTTGGCACTGCTGAATATGCTGTTATGTTCCTGTATCCAGGCATGGAGAGTGGTTATTCACATCTATTCATGACTCAGGGAGATTGCACACTTCAGCTTTCTGTGAACACGAGTCATGCTCGGGACACTTTTTGTAACTGTGTGGGAATAAAACCCAATGTTCTGCAGAACTGGATAACTAGAGAAGCACCCAGCTATTGTACCAGTCATGTTCTCCTCATCCATGTGCCTTTACATTTCTTTGGCTGAATAAAGAGAGGGAGCTGTGAGATCCCAGCACTCAACAGAGCAGAGTGAGCCCTGCTGCTGGAGTTGCTGGGCTGAGGGGCACTGAGGGGCAGCCAGTGAAGCCCGGCAGGATGGGAGGTGTACGGCTTGCAGTCCCCCTCTAGTGGTAAGACAGAMGTTCATTGCTCAGAGAGCCATCGAGATAAAGAACTGGGCTCTTCCACACAGCTAAAAAGGTTCAGCTGAAAGGGGTCCCTGCTGCAGAGAACACATCTGGAATAGTGTCTGATGCTGAAGCAACCAATGCATTTCCTATTATGAAGCCATTTCTGCAGCCACCTTCTGGGGAGTCYATTTAAATACAACCTCTCGTTCTGCAGTTGTGTCATGCTGCACTTCCACTTCTTTCGTGAGGAACCTTCCTATCAAACACCAATACACCTTCAAAAGTTGTTATTTTATGTTGGAAGCTGCACTCCAAGCAACACCTTTCGCACTGTGGTTTATGAACACTTGGGCTCCTGGATGCCCTCAAGCCAGTGAGAGCTTCCCAAACAGATGCCATGACAGCTGTGTTTCCTCTCATGCTGCATGGGAAGAAAATCGTGATTGGAGAAGAGAGCAAGCTGCTTCAGGAAAACCATGAACTGGGCAGCTGCTATCTTTGGTACATCTTTAACTTGATGCTATTTTTAACTGCAGACAGCATGTAGGAGAAAAAGAACCCGATCAGTAGAGATTAAGCACAGTCTGACACTCATGAAAGGATGCATGCTAATTGCTGGGGCTGGCATTTGACTTGCAACTTGCTCWGGAAGCTTTCAACTTTAAAAGGATGTTCACTGAAGTTTCTGAACAGGCTAATTTTGTTAAACTGAAGTTTAAATAAACAACACTACAAAAAGCAGCATTTTTCCTTTGCCCCTTATGGAGACATCTGTGCTGCAGATAAAGGAATACACACATTCTGCTTCACTCATCTGTTCCCTCATGTCACATGTTGGTTAAAGGTTACGATCCAAAGAAAGAGCACTTTCTTTTTCCCTGAGTTGTTAGTAGTAAACACACCAGAGGAAAGTTTCAGGTTAAGACTGAATGCATAGCCTACCTGTAGGTTTCTTTTCCCCATGGCTCTGCTTTCCCTCCTCCAAAAACACACTTTCTGTCTCCACTTTGCCCCTGAACCAACACTCTCATATATGACCATAGCATCTACAACCAGCTAACTAGATTTCGCAGCAAACGTTTTTCTTCAARCTCATTTTCAGCATGCCACTTTTCCCTCTGCTGCCCTTCTCACTGCTGAGATATTACTGTAAACTTCTGTCACTGTCATCCTCCTTCAAACTGCCCTTTGCTCTAGCATCTATAAAACCTCAGTAATGTTAACATAAGGGATGTACCAAGATTATTATTCACTGCACAGGTCATTCATTATTATATCATCAGCTCCTTGTGATCCCCCATCTGTAGCCACCTGTTGCCTTGGGTAGTACAGAAATTCATGTTCTTCCTCACATGGCCTTTTTGGTTTGTTTTTTTTCCCATGGTCCTAACAGCACCTGGCACAACAAGGTCTTGGATCCAAAGCTGAAGAGCCTCAACTGCTATAGCAATACAAACAACAAATATGAAACAATGAGTCATGCAGTCAAAATTGTTTTGTTTAAGGGGGAACTGGTCAAAAACTTTTGTTTGCCAGGTTGCAAAGGTTGGCCTGCAATGGGAAACTGGAGTCAGATGCAGGTTTTTGTTGTACCTCTCTCCATGTTTCAGGCTTTTGCTAAAATATTTCTATTTGGGGCCCTTCAGTTAAAGAAAGAATATTTCTTAAATAACTAAGTTGTCACAAGTTCAGTTTGTGACGGAGCCAGGATCAGACACAAGATGAAAATATTTTTAAAGCTTGCAATTACTGAAGTACCCACTCAGGTGTGCTCAGTTTGATGTGAAGTTCTCTAATCTCTCATTGACACAAAGGCCTCAAACTAACACTGAAAAGTCAGGTGTGACATTAGCTGGCTAGCAGGAGATTAGTCAGGTGTGACATTAGCTGGCTAGCTGTCCCACAGAGCAATAGTCTGGCTTCAAGGAGAAACATTTCTCAGCAGCTGTCCAGGCACAAGCACTGGCACTTCAGTTTACTGTAGGTTACTGTGGCAGAAGGACAGTCTCCAGCAATACAGGCTACTAAGAGCCCTTTGAACTGCACTTCTTCCCTACTGAACAGCAGCCCAAGTATGACAACTAGTTACTTATCTTTCAAGGGTCTTGCTGACTGCAAGATATCTAAAAGCAATAAAAAAAGAAACAACCCYCACCCTCTTATTGCTCCAAGATGCCAACCATAGTCAAACACTTCATGGTCAGACATCAATTTTGTACTGCAAGAATAAAGCCTCMCTGCACCCAAGACAGAGCTTGTGGGAAGGGCAAGTGCAGAACAAGTCCCACAGGAACCAATTTCTGTCTTTCCTTGGCTGTAGACACTTGTACACAGAGAACCCCCTATGTCTACAAAATGAACCATTAGCACWGCAACTGCATGGACCATCACAAGGTGCTCATCAACAGTAAGTGTAAGGGCTTTGTGATGGCCTGTAAAACATAACATTGGAGTGGGGCTGAATTTTCTGACCCTTTAAAGAYGGGAAAAACCAACACCCACCTCTCACCACCACTCCCCACCAAATAAACCCCCATCTGCAGGGAGAGGAGGAATCATTCATTTCTCAGGCTAACTGTAAAGGGAAAAGACAGATACAAGAAACTGTGAGAACTTCACCAAGATCCTGGGACCCTGGCAAAGGGAAACTAGCCAGATGTCACACTGGCAAAACGATCAAAGGAGTGCAGTAAATGCAARTCATCTGGTAACAGCAATGTAGCACTGACCAGAGGCCTGGACATAACAGAGAAACACARCTAAAAATACATATAGGCACTGTTGTAAGCTGTGTGTGAACAATTATTTTCCATCCTGGCATTTACAYACTGTTTACTGTGCCCTGGAACATCAAATTAAAGATATAAAGCACCACTCAAGATATAAAGTAAATGCCCGCTATACAAACCCWGCCTTTATTTGTACTTCATCTGCTATAAAAAACATACCTGTGATTTGATACACTGCTGTATCACACTGAACATGCACAGATATATCAGAAAAGAGGGATGGGAGCCGACTCTGTTTCGATTTCCTGGTACTGAGAGCAAACCCAGTAATTTTGTTCTGTGTGCATTCAGCACCTAGCACAATGGAGCCTCAGTCCAARGCTGTGACTCCCATGCTCTATGATGCAAATAATCCATCATTTAACATTCTCAGACCTCTGCAAGACTTCCAGCATTTAAAAATAAYTTGAAAATTCGGGCTAAGTCTCCAAAAGTGCCTAGGTCAGTTTGGGCTGTGGGCACTGAAAAGCCTTTAAAAAAAAAATCCAGTAGTGCTAATTCCTCATCTCCAACAAATGCATACACACAGGAGAGGGAAAAAAACCCCACTAATCTGTTGAGATTTTTCCTTAGCCATTACAGGCAGAGCAGTAACGTCTGTAACACTGTCCTTGTACGTGCTACCAAAGAACACAAGAGAGGCTTTGAAACGAGTCCCTTTGCAGTCAGCTTTGCCCAGATCAGAGCTCTGGACTGCAAGCCTGAGTGCATTTATGCAGTTCACAGGCACTGCCGGGGTCRACACCACAAGAAGGCACAGAGCCCTTAATTAATTGCTCCCTTTCTGTGACKCTATTTTGCTCTGCCCAGTTCTCTGGGAAAATTTGAGAGCTTAATGTGGAGGCCAAGAGAATACCCACAGCACTCCTTCCGACACACTGAAATGCATCAAAAGCCAGAGCCCCATCCTGCAAAATKATGAGCTTGCTTGCCACAGCCACTTTTAGCTACGGGCTCCCAGGAGTCCCTCTGGACACCAAAGCAGCACCTGGAAATGCTGCTTGGGCACAGCCATCCTCTGCATGGATGGTGGGGGCTCACTGCTGCATAGGCCACGCTTGTGTTCTCCACCCTMTGAACAGCCATGAAGGGAGATACCYTCTCCCTTTCACCTTTATTTCATACRTGACTAAAACAGTCTCCAGAAGCAGCCACCTTTGGGAGCTTTCTGCCACACAGAATGAAAGCTCATTTTGTTTGAGTTCATTGACATTTCATTATAGAGGAAGTGACAGAAACCAATAGAGAAGTAATAAGTATCCGTACCCAAAGCTGCCTCAAATCATTCTTTTAATTAAACTCATRCAATGTTTGTAGGCCTCAGCATCTCTGCCTTACTGGCAACTTTTACGGTGCAATCCAAACAGAATTAATTGTGCTGATGGTTCCCAAGCCAGGAATGGATTGTGCTCCTTTTCTGAGCCAGGACTCCACACTGCTACTGAGGCAATAAAGACTTATTTGTGCAGTTGAACCAAGGGGATATAACTCTGAACAAGGCTATTAATCAAGAAGATTCAGTCCYTGCACAGTCAGCTTACAGCCAATGCCAAGGTCACACCACACAGTGGTGACACAGCTGGAGGCAGAAGGTGGTTCCTGTGACTCAGGGCTAAGCACTAAACCACACCATTACACACAGGGAGCAAAGATGCTTTTCAAAACTTAATCATYCCAGGAATTCCTACTGTAAGCCATAAAAACA